AAGTTCTTTGGTGCTGGCAGCAAGTTTCCATTTGCTTTATATGTCTATAGTTCAGACCCAATTTGTTTACCGAGGATGATTCGAGAAGGAGGAGGATGAGGAGGATGTCACTCCACTGTCAAGCCAGCCAAGAAGTCCTTTGTCATTGTTTCAACATGTTAGGGGAAGCACACTGATTGAAACCGCCCACCCTGGCCAGGGACCATAGTAACCATTTGCATGAGTTGTTTTATGGCAGGAGATCCTGATAAGGAATACGGAACTAATTAGCCACCACCAGCCGGAAGAGTTCGGGAAAGGTCGAGAGGAAACACTACCTGTCTGTCCACTTCCCAGAATCCCTCTTGCTAGCATCCATCTTGGCTAAGCGATGCGTGCGCCACCAGGAAAGACTCTGAATTAGAATGATTGGCCAAAGACCACCTGGAAACTAATCCCATCACCATAAAACCCAAGACTGCGAGCCACGCGGCAGAGCAGTTCTCTTGGGTTCCCTTACCCTCCTGCTCTCCACCTGGGTGCCCTTCCCAATAAAATCTCTTTGTCAGCATATGTCTCCTCGGACAACTGTTTTCCGAGTGTTAGACAAGAGCCCAACTTCGGGCCCTGGAAGGGGGTCCCCCTTCCTACAACAAACATAGTGTTAGTAACCTTTTAAACCACTTAAGCAGCATAATATATGTTTTTGTTCTTTCCCTGACTCTTTCCCTAAAGTTTCAGTAGTAAACATGGTTCACAGACAGAAAAAGGGCAGCAATGTCTGAAAGTCTTCTTTTGGAGGCAGGACGAAAGCCCAAGTTTGCCGGCTGACATTTATGCATAATTGTCCTGGGCGCAAGCTAAGGAAGGACTTCATAGCCTAAAGAAATGTTAATTAGTTTTCCCTCCTCCCCAGGGTGTGAGGGTTCCAGGGAGGGGGCATATGGGTGGAGTCATTGGTTGATGTGATCGGTCTTTTCTCTATTTTATGACCTGTAATAAAGGGGGGTTGGGTAAGTAAGCCCACTTAAGTTTGGGAGACACAGGTTAGCATGAAAATGTATTCAGGACTCCGAGGCATTCCCTGTTGAGAGACCAAATTTTCAGCTTCATTAGTAAGGGTTTTTATCTGTCCCCAAGAGGAGAGGTCATAGGGTTGATGCCACCAAGGGCGGTGCTTTCTGGAGATCTTTAGAGCCACCATGGCTTGTATTGGAATTTTCTTCCTCCCGGGGTTCTTCTTTAGTCTCCATTTTGAATGTTGGGGGGCCCCCTCGGGTCGAATTCTCTGAGGAATAAGTTTGTTGGATCCATCTGGGGAAATACAAGCATATCCCTTTCCCTGTAAGATTAATTTCCAAGATTTCTATTGATTATTGAACCCATCTTGGTACCAAATGGGCAGAGGAAGAGAAGTGTCCTTCAATTCCTCGAAATGTCTTTCTGCTCTTGTTAAAATATTTCCCTGTGGTAGGTTTAAAAAATTTAAAACAAATAAAGCTGTATTAACAATAGTTATAGGTTTAGAAAATATCTATTTTGGGCTCTAGTGAAGTCTGCTTTAGATAAGGAAGACAGTAGTGTACCTGTGTATTCCCCTTTCTTTAACATTTTCTATTTGTAACTTTAGTGTGTGATGTGTTTGTTCAACTGTGTCTTGTGCCTGTGGATTATAAGGAATACCTGTAATATGTTTAAAAGAAAAAGATGGTAAAAATTGTTTGAAGTGTTGGGTAGTTAGAATAGGAAAAAGGAGTCCAGAATGGCGGTGGCTAAAAGACTTGGAAGGGAAAAGCCCGAGAATATAGAACAAAGGAAGGTCCGAGGACTGGAGTGAGAACCTCAGGTAAAACAAACAACACTCCTGGCTGGCCCAATTTACATAAGACAGGCCCAGGGACAGAGAAACATACAAAAAGAGGAGCCGGAGTCCTCTTCTCTCTCTCTCTCTCTCTCTCCCGCGCGATGGGGTGCTCTTCTCTTTGCGTCTTTGGATCGACATGCCCTCATGCCTGGAAGATAGATTTCCCTGCTATTATCTAAATAAAATAGATCTGTAACACTGAGCTGTAACACTGATTTATCTAAGAGTTATAACACGGTCCGTTCGAGACCTGAGAGCTATAACATGGTCTGTCCAAGACCCGAGAGCTGTGACCCGCCGAGGGGGCTTTAAGGTCCGTCACTCCAAATCTTTGTTGTGATGAGACAAAGGACCGAGGAGCATACACTCGCCTGACATCTGTGGTGCCATGACTCGGATTTAACCTGGCTGAAAACAACCTCCACGCAAAAGAGGCCAAGCGCAGCAGGAGCCCAACTCAGCGAAGCTCCTGCGGTAGAAGCGGAACCCGAAGAAAACCCAGCGCAGGAGAAGGCCCATCGTGCTGAAAACCGAAAGCCCATGTGGCTCAGCCTCAGATTCCAGAAGACCTCTGGTTAAGGTAGGAGGTCCTCGCTCCATGGCTGGAGGGACATGCCTAACAAAATCTTAATTCCTTTAATCTCTCGTTTCTCATTTCCTTGAACCCCCCGCAAACTGGCAGGCAGTAGTGGGCGCAATTGAGGGACTCTGGAGAGGCTACTCTTCGGTATGTCCCAAAGGCACTATCTGCTGGGTCCCAGTAGCTGTTACCCAAGCCAGTGGGAGTTCTTCTGTCCCTACTCTTCTCTGTGCCAAGAATCAGACCAATGAAAACTGTGAGCACCGGTCAGATATCTAGCAAATTTTCCAGTAGGTTATGAAGGGGATTCCTTGACATGTTTTTCCCACTGCTTTTCACTCTTTTCCTTCAGCTCTTTCTCCCGGGTCTCGAGCCCGACCAAAACCCAGGCTGTCCGGCTCAGGCTCTGAGGTCTTATTGGAAAAATTCAGTGAGAGACAAAGTGATAAGTGGGAGGTGGATTTGCTAAGATTCAGAGAGAAGCGCCCATTCTACAGGGTACGGGCCATGGAAGGCGGCCTGACTAAGTTTTGCCAGCGGGGTGAATTCATATGCTAAAGAGCAGGAGGATATCCCAGCCATTGGGGAACCACCCGCTCCTCTGTCTTTTTACAGTGACTTGGAGCTGTTCTGCCACCTCTGGGTGCGTCTTTTGGCTTATAGATTGGGGATTAAGGTTTACTTGAATTTGACTTGTCATGTTGGACCCAGTTGATTTTAATCGTTATGCATTATGCCCTTGTGCTATGTCATGCTTTCAAAGGTTGTGCTCTGCCCCCCCCCCCCCCCCGTTCCCTCCTGTTTCATGCTCCTTTCCTCAGCCTCATCTGGGCCCACAATGTTGCCGCTACAATATACTAGAGGGATAAACAAAAAATAGCTGGCCTTGGGAGGGAAGTACTGTATAATATCCAACCCCTTAGTCCTACCTAGCACTGGTCACGCTGGAGACCTTGAGGACGCCCAAACTCCAGCCCAGGGGTCCCAGGAGGTCATCACGCCTTGACCTGCCTGGGGATCTGGTCCTCGAAAAGTTGTCATGCCTCAATCTGCTCAGGGATCCGCTAGTCCCAAGGGTCCCAGGAGGTCGTCACGCCTCGACCTGCCCAGGGGCCCAATTCTCGGGAGGCTGTCACACCTCGACCTGCCCAAGTATTCGATCTCTAGGAGGCTGTCACGCCTCAGCCTGTCTGGAGATCTGCACCCTGACCCGGGGACGCCTGGCTCTCAGGTTGCAACAGTACTAGGTAGGATGAGCTTACATCATGGTATCTATTCCCATCCACAGTGGACAAACTAGCAATGAGTTACAACCCTTTAATTCTACCAAGCACTGGTCACACTAGAGACCTTGGGGACGCCCAAACTCCAGCCCGGGTGTCCCAGGAGGTCATCACGCCTTGACCTGCCTAGGGATCTGGTCCTCAAAAGGTTGTCACGCATCAACCTGCTCGGGGATCCGCTAGTCCCAAGGGTCCCAGGAGGTCGTCACGCCTCGACCTGCCCAGGGACCCAATTCTTGGGACGCCGTCACTCCTCGACCTGCCCGGGGATTTGATCTCTAGGAGGCTGTCATGCCTCAGCCACCCTGGGGATCTGCACCCTGACCCAGGGATGCCTAGCTCTCAGGTTGCTACCGTTCTGGGTAGGATAAGCTTCAGAAAGACTCACCCCTAAGGAAGGCCACCCACGGAAACAGAAGGAAGCCTATTACTTGTGATACTGTGCCAGTTCTCAGCAATAACTCAGGAGCCCAATGAGAACCCCATTGCCTTTCTAGAAAGGCTAAAAGAGGCCCTCCAAAAGTTTACCAATTTAAACTTAGACTCTTACGAGGGACAGGTGATTTTAAAGGACAAATTCCTGTCCCAGTGTGCATCAAATATCAAAATTAAGTTACAACAACTACAGCAGCAGGACCCTGCTGCCTCTTTAGGTGAGATGATCCAGACAGCCACCAATACCTTTTATAACAGAGGACAGGAGAAGGAGGCCAAGGCCCAGGAGAGGGAGAGAAGGAAAGAGACAAGGCATGTCCAGATGCTGGCCGCCCTCCAGGGCAGCCCTATGGCACACCCCGAGTCCTTGAATGACAAGGCATGAGGCAAATGCCTAATCTGTAGACAGGCAGGGCACTGGGCCAAAGAGTGTCCTAACTGTGACAACTCTCCTAAAACGGCTTGCCACAAATGCCATCAACTGGGACATTGGGCGGCACCCCGCCCTTGGGACCCAAGAGCCTCAAGGTCAAGCGCCAAGCCTTCCCTCACGATGGTTCAAGAGGACTGAAGCAGCCCGCTCCAGCCAGCCCGCCTGTCACTGATAACCATCACGGGGCTGGAGCCAAGGGTGCAACCGGATGTGGCAGGTAGGTCTGAGAATTTCTTGGTTGACACAGGGGCTACCTACTCTGTCTTGGTCTCCTACTCCGGAGCCTTCTCCTCCCAAACCTGTACCATTTGGGGTACTACAGGAAAAGCAACTACTAGAAGATTCAGCCAAGCACTTCTTTGTTGCTGGGATGGACAGATATTCTCCCACCAGTTTCTGGTGGTCCCTGAGTGTCCTACTCCCTTAATGGGAAGAGACATCCTCATTAAACTGGGGACCACCCTTGTGATGGGAAGCTTTTCAGCCCCTAGGGCCCTACAGCTTCTGATTACTACTGAAGAATCCATTACACCTTCTCCAATAGAGAGAGAACAAAGACTATGGGAGGACAAAATTAACCCCCAGGTGTGGGACCAGGGGATTCCTAGACGAGCCCACCAAGCTGAACCGGTCATCATTGTCCTCCGAATTCCCACTCGGTTTCCTAACCGGAAACAATATCCTCTCAAAAGAGAGGCTCAAGAGGGACTACAGGCTTTAATAAATAAATTCCTTGCTTGTGGGCTATTGGTCTCCACCAGTTTGCCATGTAACACCCCAATACTCTCAGTAAAGAAAAAGGATGAAACTTGGCAAATGGTTCAAGATCTCCAGATCATAAATGAAGCGGTAGTCCCCCTCCATCCCACAGTATCCAATCCCTATGTAATCTTGGGAGATATCCCACCCAGTGCCAAGTGGTTTACAGTCTTGGATCTCAAAGATGCATTTTTTTGCATACCACTGGCTGAAGAATCCCAATATCTTTTTGCGTTTGAGTGGGAGGCCCCAGGAGAAAAACACCAACAGATGACTTGGACAGTATTACCTCAGGGGTTCAGAGACAGCCCCCACTTGTTTGGACAGGCCCTTAGCTGAGATCTCCTAGATTTGGACCTGGGACCTAATGGGAAAATATTACAATACATAGATGACCTACTAATCTGCTCTCCAGATGAGGAAAATGTCCAACAACATGCAATTCAGGTTCTAAACTTTTTGGCAGAAAGGGGATATAAAGTCTCCCGTGCTAAGGCACAGATGGTCGAGACAAAGGTCACTTACCTGGGAGTTCAGATTACACATGGGTCCAGGAGGCTGTCCTCTGATCAGGTACAAGGAATCCTCCAGTTGCCCTCCCCCACGACTCGAAAACAATTGCAAGCTTTCCTGGGGCTAACTGGGTATTGTAGAATCTGGATACTCAACTATGGTCTAATTGCCCAGCCCTTATATAAAAGCTTAAAGGGATGAGATGATTCAATCCCACTGATGTGGGGAACTCTTCAAAAGGAGGCAGAGGCTACTCTAAAACAGGCCTTAACTCAGGCACCTGCCTTGATGTTGCCAGATCCAAAAAAAGCATTCCAACTTTATGTCCATGGAAAAGAGGGAATAGCCTTGGGAGTGTTAACTCAAAGGTTGGGATCTGAGCCTCAGCCTGTATCTTACTTATCCAAGAGGCTTGATCCAACCGCCCAAGGCTGGCCCCCCTGCCTTCGAAATCTTGCGGGTATTGCAATCATGATAGAAGATGCTTCAAAACTCTCCTTTGTGGGCAAACCAACTATTTTTATCAGCCACCAAGTAAAACAACTCCTAAATGGGAGAGGCCATTTATGGATGTCTGATCAAAGAATCCTCAGATACCAAGTAATACTGATGGAAAACCCAGGCCTCACTATATCCCCTTGTGAGGTTCTTAACCCAGCCACCCTCCTACCTACCCCCAAGGGCTCTCTCCCCTTTCACTCCTGTCTAGAAACCTTGGACCACTGGACAAAACCCCAAGAGGGATTGTCAGAAGATCCTCTGACCAATCCTGAGGAAATCTGGTACACTGACGGAAGCAGCTTTGTCTTGGATGGAAAAAGAAGAGCCAGATATGCAAGTAGTCTCCAATTTTGAGACCATAGAGGCTAAGCCTCTGCCACCAAGTACTTCAGCCCAATTTGCTGAGCTCATAGCCCTGACTCGAGCTTTAGAGCTGAGAAAAGGAAAAAGAATAGCCATTTACACTGACTCCAAGTATGCCTTCCTGCTGCTACATGCACATGCAGCTATTTGGAAGGAAAGGGGCCATTTGACCACCCAAGGGTCCCCAATCAAATATGGTGATCAAATCCTTAGACTCCTAGAGGCAGTCCATCTGCCCACTGAGGTTTCAGTCTCCCACTGTAAAGGACACCAAAAAAGGGAGCACGGAAGTGGCACGAGGGCACCAAGCAGCTGATCAGGCAGCTAAGAGAGCAGCCTTACAGAACCATGACCTAATAGGGGTTGCCACCTTAGTTCCACAGACTAACTTGCCAGAAACTCCTTCATATACTGAAGGTGAAACTCTTAAAGCTAAGAGTGAGGACTTTCAAGAAGATCATATGGGGTGGTTCCAAAAGGAGGGGCTCCTTTTTCTGCCTGGGAACCTCCAATGGAAGTTGGTTAACTCCTTACACGCCACCACTCATTTAGGAGAAAAGGCCCTCCAAAGATAACTAGAAAGGTCTTTCAGAGGAACAGGCTTCCAAACAACTATAAGACAAGTGGTCTCCTCTTGTCCCACTTGCCAATTAAACAACCCCCAAGGAGCTGGAAGAACCCAGCTGGCCCAGCCCGTCCAACGACGTGGGGCCTATCCAGGAGAGGACTGGCAGATGGACTTCACCCAGATGCCAGTTTCTCAAGGGTATAAATACCTATCAGTCATGACAGATACATTCACAGGATGGATTGAAGGCTATCCCACCCGGACTGAGAAGGCTGAGGAGGTGGTAAAAAAAAAAAAAAAAAAAAAAAAAAACTGCTCCATGAAATCATTCCAAGGTTTGGTCTACCCGAGTCATTACAAAGTGACAATGGGACATCATTTACTTCTAAGATCACCCAAGGAGTCTCTAAAGCTTGGGCATTACTTATTATCTCCATTGTGCCTGGAAGCCTCAGTCTTCAGGAAAAGTAGAAAGAGCCAACCAATTCTTAAAATCAGCAATAAAAAAGATAACCCAAGAGACCTCCCTGGGATGGAAGGAGGCTTTACCAATAGCTCTCTTCCGTACACGTATTGCCCCTAAGGAACAGGTTGGTTTTTTTTCCTTATGAGATGCTATACGGGAGACCTTTTATTTATGTCAATGACCTCTTCCTAGATCCAGAGGTTCAGACCCTCCAGTCTTATACCATGGCCATTGGGCAATTCCAACAGGATGTACACTTGTAGGGTATGAACCAGACTCAAAAGACTATAAGGAGTCACCACTATATGCTCCAGGGACTCAAGTCTTTTTTTTTTTTTTTTCCCATTTATTTTTATTAGTTGGAGGCTAATTACTTTACATCATTACAGTAGTTTTTGTCATACATTGAAATGAATTAGCCATGGATTTACATGTATTCCCCATCCCGGTCCCCCCTCCCACCTCCCTCTCCACCCGATCCCTCTGGGTCTTCCCAGTGCACCAGGCCCGAGCACTTGTCTCATGCACCCAACCTGGGCTGGTGATCTGTTTCACCCTAGATAATATACATGTTTCGATGCTGTTCTCTTGAAACATCCCACCCTCGCCTTCTCCCAGAGTCCACAAGTCTGTTCTATACATCTGAGTCTCTTTTTCTGTTTTGTATACAGGGTAGTCTGGAAAGATGGGTCCCCAAAGGCTCAACTCCAGCCCACATGGAAGGGCCCCAAACCTGTAATACTTTCTACTCCCACAGCAGTCAAGGTGCCAGGACATGACTCCTGGATTCACTACTTACGAGTCAAGTGGTGGAAGAAAACAGAAGAAGACACTCAATACACCTGTGAGCCCCTGGGAGATCTCAACTACCTATTCAGGACTACAAATGAGTGCCATTCTAATAAACAACCCCAAAATCTGGTCTCTGGGGATAAGATTTCTCAAGACAGTTCTAAAGAGCCAACACAGCTTGGCAGAAATAATACTCCAAAACAGACAGGAGATAGATCTTCTGATCTCTGAACAAGGAGAGACCTGAGCCATCCTGGTGATGTAAATTTAAAATTGGCTAATGCCCCTACTAGTCCTTGTTATGCCATACTGATGCTGCTAATGATTGTTCCATGTACTGTCAATTGTCTAACCTGTCTTGTCTCTGCCCAGGTCAAGCTGCAACATGCTGTGCCAGTTCAACAAAGATATAAAACTACAGCTGACCACGGAAAATATCACTCACCCTTAGGTGGACACCACTACGAGGACTCTGAGGCTTGAGACTAGCAAGAGGGGGAGGCCCAATGCCCCTCGCCGTCCCAGTTCAGCAGGAAGTAGCCAGAGAGACCTCGACGCCCCTATTCCCAAAGAATTGGGCCTCCCATCTCTTGAGGGGGGAATGTTAGGTAGTTAGAATAGGGAAAAGGAGTCCAGAATGGCGGTGGCTAAAAGACCTGGAAGGGAAAAGCCCAAAAATATAGAACAAAGGAAGGTCCAAGGACTGGAGTGAGAACTTCAGGTAAAACAAAAACACTCCTGGCTGGCCCAGTTTACATAAGACAGGTCCAGGGACAGAGAAACATACAAAAAGAGGAGCCGAAGTCCTCTTCTCTCTCTCTCTCCCGCGCGATGGGGCGCTCTTCTCTTCGCGTCTTTGGATCGACGTGACATCATGCCTCAAAGATGGATTTTCCTGCCATTATCTAAATAAAATAGAGCTGTAACACTGAGCGGTAACACTGATTTATTTAAGAGCTATAACACGGTCCAGTCGAGACCCGAGAGCAATTCCCTGGGGAACATATTCATCAGTCAGGTGAGTAAGGGCAGACACCAGGGTGGGCTGGGGCTGAGCTGGGAGGTATCTGATCAGGTGTTTTCTGCAGCTGCAAGAAGCTCTGGCCCAGCTTTGGGAGGACCGGCAAGTGCGTGTCCTGATCTTCAGGAGTGGACTGAAGGGTGTGTTCTGAGCAGGTGGGTTTCCTTCCTTGCCCCCAACCTGGGGCTCAGCAGGGCTCCCACCAGCCTGCATTTAGGGGATACTTCAGTCATTTCTAGCACAAGAGTCAGGGCTTCCCAGGGGGCGCTATTGCTACTGAACCCGCCTGGTGACACAGGAGACACGGGTTCCATCCTGAGTTGCGTACATTCCCTGGAGGAGGAAATAGCAACCCACTCCGGTATTCTTGTCTGGAGAATCCCCATGGACAGAGGAGCCTGGCGGGCAACAGTCCACAGGGTCGCAAAGAGTCGGACACAACTGAAGCGACCTGGCACATAGCACAGGACTCATTCACATTTAAAGCTGGGAACTCGGAGGGGCAATTCCTTGCTTAGAGCCACACAGCTAGTGAGAATTCAGTCAGAACTTGACCTCTCTGACCCCCAAATCCTTGTTCTTTCTGTTTTGACCTTTCACTGAGGAAATGAGAAAGTGGAGTCCAAAGACACTCACCAGGTCTGTGGCCAAGACAGGCCTGACTCACTGCCCCTTTGCCCACAAGATCTCAGTCCCGTGTCAAAAAACTCTTCCGTGTCTCTGCACCATTTGGTCCTCACAACAGGGCAAACCCCACGCACTTCCTTTCAGAGATGAGAAATGCCGCATCCCAGGCCCACAGCAAGAAGCAAGTGAAGGAGAGCTGAGCGAAGAACTGACTCTGGGGTGGCTGTGGAGGGGGCACAGGGAGATGGGGAGAGGCTGCGGAGGGCGAGGGTGGGAAGCAAGTGATTCTTAGGCGGTTTCAAGGGCATGTGGCTCAGTCCCCAGACCTCAGCTGCCAGGATCACGGTGAGCAGCTTGGGGAGGGAGGCGGCAAGGGAAGTATGGGACCAGTCTGCCTGACCCCGAGACCCTGATCGAGGCCCTCCTCCTATTCCGGCCTCTTCCTTTGGCTCCCCCATGGTCTGATGTCTTCCATCACAGTCACTTCAAGTCTCTTAGCCCCGCTCCTCATCCCGCCAGCGAAGGACAGCAAAGTAGGGGGCATGCAGGAGGTCTGAATCTGCCCCTGATTTGCCCTGGAATCCTGGGCTAGTCCCTGTCTCTCTCTGGGCCTCAGTTTCCCCATCTGTCACTGAGGGGCTAGGACTAATTAGACTCCCAAGGGCTCTCCCAACTGACTTTCACATAATTGAGGACTTGCAGAGACTGTGTTCACCCCTTATTCGTGACTCAGGCTCCTGCCATCTGACCTCTGATGACCCTCCACTGTTATTCTCTCACCCAGGACCCTGCGCACCCCCACGCCACTGTCCCTGCACTCACTCCTCATCTACTTGACCTTTCAGCCTCCCCCACCAAGCCCTACTTTTAAAAAATAATTATACCTGATGCACACCAATTATTTCTCAATAAAATAGGAAAAAATAGTTAATAAAATTTTATTACTATTTAATGTATTTTTTGAGTTGTCACAAATATATACATTACACAAAATTTATATTTGAATCACTTTTAAGTGTAAAATTCACTGGCATTAAGTACATTCACAAGGTTATTCAACAATCACCACTATCCATTTCAAAAACTATTTCATCATCTCAGTAAACTATATACTCATTAAGCAATTCCTCCCCATTTCCCTAACATCCAGTAACCTCCATTCTACTTTCTATCTTCACAAATTTGCTTACTCTAAGTATTTAATACAAGTAGAATCATACATTTGTCCTTTCATGGCTTGCTTATTTCACTTAGCATCATGTACTTCATGTTCATCCATGTTGTAGCATACTGTAGAATTTCTAGCCTTTTTAAAAATGAATAATATTCACTTTCACACATATATTCCACATTTTGTTTATCCATCTGTTGATGGACTTGGGTGGTTCCCACATTTTGGCTACTGTGATTAATACTGCTATGAACATTGGTGTGCCCGTATCTGCTTGAGTCCTTGCTTTCAATTCTTTGGGGCATATGCTTAGGAGTAAAGTGGCTGGACCATATAGTAATCCTATGTTGAACTTTGGGAAGAAGGAAGCACCAAAATATTTTTCACAGCAGCTGTATCATTTTACATTCCTACCAGCAGTACATCAGAGTTCTCCACACCAATGTCAACACTTTTTTGTTTGTTGTTTATAATAACCATCTGAATGGGTACAAAGCAATATCCTATTGTGGTTTTTATTTACATTTCCCCAATAATGTTGAACACACTTTCCAGTACTTACTGGCTTATCTTCTTTTTTAAATATTTATTTGGCTGCAGTGGGTCTGACTTGAGGGACGCGGGATCTTCAATCTTCATTGTGACAAGCCACCTCTTAGTTCTGGCATGAGCGCTCTAGTTCCCCAACCAGCGATCGAACTCGGGCCACCTGCAATAGAAAGCCAGAATCTTAGCAACTGGACTAGCAGAGAAATCCCACTGGCTTATTTTCCTTGGAGAAATGTATATTCAAGTCCTTTATGAGGTTTTGTTTTGTTTTGTTTTTTTTCTGCCACTCTGCACAGCTTGCATGATCTTAGTTCCCCAACCAGGGATCAAACCGTGTCCCTTGCAGTGGAATCATGTAGTCTTAACCACTGGACCACCAGGGAAGTCCTTTGTATTTGTTTTCAGTTGTAGGAAGTCTTTATATATCCTAGATATCAGTTCCTTACCAGATGTATGATTTGCCAGTATTTCCTTCCATTCGTGGGTTGTCGTTGCTCTCTTGATAGTGTCTTTTGATGCACTAGTTTATAATTTTGATGAAATCTAATTTATCTTTTTGTTGTTGTTGTGTCTCTCTTTTTTTGACCACCCTCCTCCCTCCCTGGCTTCCCTGGCCGAGTTTTTCTAATGTTTCTCTTTCCTCTCTGGCTGCTTCTCTTCAGGTTTCCATTGCTGGATCCTTTGACAGCCTGGGATTCAGTGCCAGATCATTTCCCAAGGGCTGTCACCCTTGCATCTGGCAGGTGCAGACCTGAAGGAGCGGGAGCAGATGAGTGAGACAGAAGTGGGGGTCTTTGTCCAGCGGCTCCGAGGTCTGATAACTGAGATTGGTGAGGGTTCTGGAGTGGGGAGGAGGAGGACATTCAGTGGTTCTGCTGATCCCAGACTCACCAATCCACCATACTCTAAAGACAGAATGGTTTCTGTTGTGAGCTCTGTGGAGAGGTGATTCTCCCAGGGAGAGGGGGCAGGGACAATGAATTCTACAAGGAGGAGGGTGTCACAAGGGTCCAAAGGGCACTGGCTCCCCAGCATTAGTGCCCTGCTAGATCTGACCCCGCCCCCAGCCCCTGTGCTCAGGGTACAAGCCTGGCCGTACCAGAGTCAACTTTAAGCAAGCATGCTTGCAGGCTTTGACAAATGCTTGTTCCTTTTTCTGGAATATCCCTCCTAGGCCATCTGAACTGTTTATGCATTCTTTAAGACCACCAGTGCCTCTTCCTCCAGGAAGCCATCCCTGGCCCATCATCCAAGCTTCCTTTCTCAGATCACTGATCACCCTGAATCATCATCACCTGTTTGCCTGTCTGCCTTCCCCGTGTCGGATTCAATTCTGTTCCCAGCACACAGAATGAGAAGGGAGAGCAAAAAGGCTGGTCCCGGGGAGGCCCACAGGAGGGTGGGCCTGACCAGGCATCACCCCGCCCATCCATCTCCCCACTCCTATTCCCCAGCTGATCCCACAACTTTCCCCAGTGGGAAAACTGACTGCTAAGATAACCTGGCTGAGGTACCAGGAGAGGTCCCCAAGCTTGGGGCCAATGAAGCCGTCTGTCACAACCACCTAGATCGTCTCCTACCCTGAGACACTGTCCTGGTCCTACCAGGGCCTCGCAGGCTGAGCCATCGTCCTTTGTCTCCACAGCAGCCTTCCCTGCACCCACCATTGCTGCTGTGGATGGATTTGCCTTGGGTGGAGGCCTGGAACTTGCCCTGGCCTGTGACCTCCGAGTGGCAGGTACCGGGTACAGCGAGAGGTGTGGGAGGGAAGAGTGAGTGACACAAGCTGATTCTGGGGACTTTGCAGTCAGCCACTGCTCTCAGCTTGCCAATAAACCCCAGAACTAAAGGCAAAGTGGGGGCCAAGGAATTCAGGCAGTAGTGGTTCCCCCTTCACCGCCCAGCCCCTGACTGCTACAGGACTCGTCCCTTCTCAGAGTCAGCTGCCCTCAGCTCAGGACTGCTCATGCCAACCCCAGGGCAACTGCTGACACAACTAGAAAGAACACAGAGCGAAGGTTGGGGACAAAGGTATCCCTTCAGTCTTCCAGTTCTGTCCAAGCCAGCTTTATCGATCATGTTGTGAACAAAGGTGAGCCAGGAGGGCAGTCTGCTACATGCCCAGTTAATCACAAGCATGACTGGGCAGGAACAGTGCCCTACAGTAGTTCTATCAGAATCCACAAAGCTTTGCGGTAGTAGATAAAAGAAACTGAACTTCAAAACGTGGAGGGCAGGGAGGATGAAGATAACTGATTGCTTTTAACCTTGCTGGCTTGGTGGTTAGGTGTGCCCTTTTTAGAGCAGATCAGAGAAGATCTGAGTGCCATAATGGTGCCACACTTTCTCATGCCACCAAGCAAGAACTTTTCATCTTTTTTTTTAACATGTAGCCCCAGGCATAGAGGGACTTTATATCCACATGATGCATAACGAAGAGAAGCCATCAAATATCAGGGCAGATCATAGCACCAACTCTGGTTCTCACCTGCCTGTGTTTAGGAAAGCTAACTTGAAGGGTTTGGTGGGTAGGAGGTGAATGTAAACCCCTCCCTCCCATGCTGCATGGTTCACAGGGACCATGTTAAGGAAATTCAGGAGAAGCCTGTGGGGTGGGACACTCAAGGAGGGTTTCTCACAGGAAGTACAACTGCGAAAGAAGGATATGGATCAGAATACAGGAAAATTTCCGGCTGACAAAAAGCCTGGAGGAAAACTGGTGGAAGCAGGAGTCACTGACGCTCTAGGCCAGACCTGAGCTAAGGATGCATGAGACAGAGAATCCATTAACTTACAAATAGGTACCAGGCACCATCCAGGAACCCTTCCTTTTTCCAAGCACCACGACCTCACTTGATCCTAAACAGCTCTATAAAGCAGGTAAAAGAGAGGTTATCAATTTTTTCCCCATCCATGAGGCTCAGAAAGGCTAAGAGAATTGCTCAGTGAGTTGTGGAGGTAGGGTGAGTGTTGGGCCTCCTGACTTCCAGACTAGGGCTCTTCCAAAGGCAGCTACTGGAGGAGTCTGGCTGTGGCCACACCGTGAGGGAAGTGATTGGCTGGAGGGGTGAGCAGAGCCCAGAGTGTCTCTTATCCTCAGGGACTGGAGCTAGAAGACAGGGTGGGGGCTTCACTCTGTTTTGTCTAAGCAGCTTCCTCGGCTGTCATGGGGCTGATCGAGACCACCCGAGGGCTCCTCCCAGGAGCAGGTGATAACACACACCATCCATCCTCTACCTGTTCAACTCCACTCTATCCAGCATAATTCCCTACTTTCTTCTCTTGCCCTATGTTCTGGGCTCTTCCCCACCAGCCTAACCCAATCTCGTCCTCTGAGAGGTCTTGGCTGACCCCCAGCAAGGGCCTCCTCTGGGCCCCCATGTCCCATGAGGATTCACCACCCCTACTCCATCCTGGCAGGAGGGACTCAGAGGCTGCCTCGATGCCTGGGGGTGGCCCTGGCGAAGGAGCTCATCTTCACGGGCCGACGACTGAGTGGGGCGCAGGCCCAGGTTCTGGGGCTGGTGAACCACACTGTGGCCCAGAATGAGGAGGGCAACACTGCCTACGGCTGGGCCCGAGCCCTGGCCCAGGAGATCCTGCCCCAGGTGCAACTGCCGCTCGGCGCAGGTGGGCCTGAGCCACTGGGTCATTGGCGGGGATGCCGGGGGCAAGGGCGTCTCATGCAACCACACAAAGTCCATTTCCCCAGATTTATAAAATTAACCGTCTTTTGCAGTTTTGCCTCCATTCAGCCATCTAGTAAACTAAATCAGATTTTAAGTTAAAGTGAAAATTGAGTTCTGAGGGGCTGGGATCAATTAAGCTTGAAAATCCTCAGAACAGCCTGTAAAACAGAACTTCCTGAGATGATGCAAATGATCTCTATCTGTGCCATCCGCTAAGGCACCCACTAGCCACATGTTTGGTCGCTCTGTCTGACTCTGTGCGACCCCACAGACTGTAGCCCACCAGGCTCCTCTTGTCTATGGTATTTTACTGGTAAGAATACTGGAGTGGGCTACCATTTCCTTCTTTAGGGGATCTTCCCAACCCAGGGACTGAACCAGAGGATCCTGCTTGCCAAGCAGTTTTTTACCCTTGAGCTACCTGGGAAGCCCCACTAGCCACATTACTTAAGTTAAAATTTTAATTTCTCAATTATACTTCCCATATTTTAATGCTAATAGACACATTTGGCTGTTGGCTATTGTACTGGAGAGTAAAGCATGAATGTGTCCCAAAATTGAAAATGCAAGACTCTTAAGCAGATAAAGAACTACCAGCCCATCTTTCAACCATACTACATGGTGGGAAAGCACTTGAAATGCATGATATAGGACATATGTTAAGACCCATACATTTTTGTTAATTCAAATAGCCTATTAGCATAGTCTCCCCAAAAGTTTAGGTACCCAGGGAGTGGGTTAGGCCCTGCCTACATGTAATCTCCAAGTATCTGATACATGTAGTCTCCAAGTATCTGAGAGGCTCCACTGGCTTCTCACTTCTCTGAGAGCCAGAGGGAGGGCCCAAGTTTCCACAGAGATAGGCAAGCAGCTGAAATGGAGCCAGGTTTTGTTAAGTTGTATACTAACTGAGCCCATATGGCGCACCCTCATCCTTCAGTCACAATCAGACGCAAACAATCCTGGGTACTAACAATCCAGTGTCCCAGTGTTAGAACAATCAAGTTGAGGTGATTATCCCTGTCGTGTCTGTGCTATAACAGATCCAACAAAGTTAAGTGACTGCTCATCAAAGTCAAAGAAAGTCACTGCACTACCACAAAGACAGACACTATTTTGGCATTCTTTCTGCATAATACAGAAATACATATAATAACTAGTATTTTAAAGAATGCAGAACGTGTGAAAATTTTTAAAGAACAAACTAAATCTTTAATGGATTTCAAATACAAAAAATTAAAGACATATGACAAAGGTCAAATATAAAAATGTTAACTATATTCTATCATTTTAACATTATTAACACAGAAAAGTATTTGAATTAATCACAAAAAGTAAAAAAGAGTTATCTTATTTTAGGAGAAAAAAAGTCTCCCTTTAAATAATCCTGCCTCTTTTTATAATTTTGAGATCTTTACTTACTTGCTTACTTACTTGAGGGCAAGGACTATAAAAAACTGATGGTAAGTTTGGTTTAAAAGCATTTGTCTTGTCTTCATTTCTTGTTTATAGTTTCATCACATATAAAAGGGGAGTCTGATGCTGTTTATTTTAATGCTGTCGTGTTTCTCTTATACTTGGTCAGAAAGTCTCTCAACTGATACAAAACTCTGAGTAACTCAGGGTAGTAGCTGATTACACTTTCAAGGAGTGAGGGGCGCCTATTTGTATAGGGCTTGTCTTTTTGCATAAAATAAATAACTGGGACTTTGAGCTTGATCTCAAGATGATTCAGGCTTCAGATTTTTCCATATAATGAATTAATGGTATTTTATTAATTACTAGTATTTCATTATTTAAAAGTAGCTTTCTACACCAAGGGACTTCCCTGACAGCTCAGTTGGTAAAGAATCCCCTGCAATGCAGGAGACCCCTGTTGGATTCCTCAGTTGGTAAATCCGCTACAGGAGGGATAGGCTACCCCCTCCAGTAGTCTTGGGCTTCCCTTGTGGCTCAGCTGGTAAAGAATCCGCCTGCGATGCAGGAGACCTGGATGTGATCCCTGGGTTGGGAAGATCCCCTGGAGAAGGGAAAGGCTACCCACTCCCGTATTCTGGCCTGGAGAATTTGCAGAGTTGGATACGACTGATTGACTTTCACTTTCTACACCAAATCAACATCATACCGAAAACTAGTAGTAGAATATCACTAATGCAAATGCTGGGACATTCTGATGCAACCTGTTTAACTTCCAGGTGAGTTACTGAGTGCCACTGAGTGCCAAGTATTAAGATTCCCTATGCTAAGTCACTTCAGTCGTGTCCGACTCTGTGCTACCCCATAGACAGCAGCCCATCAGGCTCCCCTGTCCCTGGGATTCTCCAGGCAAGAACACTGGAGTGGGCTGCCATTTCCTTCTCCAATGCATGAAAGTGAAAATGAAAGTGAAGTCGCTTAGTTGTGTCCGACTCTTAGCGACCCCATGGACTGCAGCCTACCAGGCTCCTCCCTGGGGTGAATGCAAGAGATACTGTGGTAGATGCCTGCCCTCTAGTGGAGAAACGACCAAGATCAGGGAGTCAAAATGCTCAAGAAATTACATACACCCCAAAAAGAAAGTGAAGTCACTCAGTCGTGTCTGACTCTTTGCGACCCCATGGACTGTAGCCTACCAGGCACCTCCATCCATGGAATTTTCCAGGCAAGAGCACTGGAGTGGGTTGCCATTTCTTCTCCAGGGGATCTTCCCAACTCATGGATCAAACCCAGGTCTCCCACATTGCAGACAGACTCTACTGTCTGAGCCACCAGGGAATCCCTACAGCCCAAAGTTCAGTTCAGTTGCTCAGTCGTGTCCGACCCTTTGCGACCCCATGAATCGCAGCACGCCAGGCCTCCCTGTCCATCACAAACTCCCGGAGTTTACTCAAACTCATGCCCATCAAGTCAGTGATGCCATCCATCCATCTCATCCTCTGTCTCCCCCTTCTCCTCCTGCCCCCAATCCCTCCCAGCATCAGGGTATTTTCCAACGAGTCAACTCTTTGCATGAGGTGGCCAAAGTATTGGAGTTTCAGCTTCAGCATCAGTCCTTCCAATGAACACCCAGGACTCTTTTAGGATGGACTGGGTGGATCTCCTTCCAGTCCAAGGGACTCTCAAGAGTCTTCTCCAACACCACAGTTCAAAAGCAACAATTTTTCGGCGCTCAGCTTTCATCACAGTCCAACACTCACATCCATACATGACCACTGGAAAAACCATAGCCTTGACCAGATGGACTTTTGTTGGCAAAGTAATGTCTCTGCTTTTTAATATGCTGTATAGGTTGGTCATAACTTTCCTTCCAAGGAGTAAGCGTCTTTTAATTTCATGGCTGCAGTCACCATCTGCAGTGTGTTGTTCCATGTCCAGTTCTAACTGTTGCTTCCTGACCTGCATACAGGTTTCTCAAGAGGCAGGTCAGGTGGTCTGGTATTCTCATCTCCTTCAGACCAAAAGAGTCTGTCAATAAACACAAGCTCCACAAATTAACACTCAGATTTTCCCTTTAAGGGGTAAATATACTTTACCCTAGGAATATGGATTTGGCTACATTTTCCATGGAACATCAAAGAAATGGAACATCCTGTGGAAACTGTGCCTCACTGTTCTCATTTCCAAATAACATAAAATGATCCATCATATTTCTAATTGATCTACTTCACACAGTGTTACCTTGAACACCACAGGTTGGAACTGCGCAGGTTCACTTATACATGGATTTTTTTTTTCCACTACATACTACAGTACTACACGATCCAAGGTTGGTTGAATTTGTGGATGCAGAACTCTTTACAGGGAGGGTTGGCTGTAAAGTTATGTACAGATTTTCTATGGCATGAATGATCAGTTCCCCTAAGCTCAAGGCTGTTCAAGGCTCAACTACAATTATGCATACATGCACAGACACACTCAGAAACATAAATATGTGTGTTTTCAACACAGAGACAACATGGCTATATGGTTTTTCATTTTCTCTAATGAGAAATCAGTAGTTAAATAATACACATTCATAACAAGCAAATCAAAGGACATAGAGTAAAAATCAAAAGTAGGGTGATCCTGTTATCCTGGGGCTGTCCAGGTTCAAAGTGAAAAGTCCCACATCCTAAAACAACACTTCAGTCACTGGCAAACCAGGACAGTTGGTCACCAAAACATTCCTCAATTCCCCAGTCACACTCCCCAGAGATGACCACTGTTAACAGTTTTCATACTCTTGCAGAAATTTTCATTGTACATGTAAAATGTGCACATATACTCACATATCTAAATAATTCTAAATTCCTTTAGGACAGTTTAGGGGACAAGGAACACATCTTTAAAGTTTAGTCTAGTTCTAACTGACGTTTAAAAACATAAACTATGCAGAGAAAAGAATTCAATAAGTATGCAAAAGTATAAAACAAAAAGTGAAGTTCTCCATTCTCTTGACCCTTCTCCCCAAAGACACATCATACCAACACCTTCTACACAAATGGAATAATATACACAGCACCATGCAGCTTCCTTTTGTCACCTAATATCTGGAGAGTTACCCATTTCAGCACATACTTACTAACCTCATTCATTTAAACTGCACAGTTTTTCATTAATGGTATGGGTGTGCCATCATTTAACCAGTACTCTAATGAGGACATCACATTACTGACATCTTTAAGCTCCTGAAAAATAGCTGGAATGAATAACTTTGGACATCTTAGTGTATACTCCTGAAAGTGCATCTGTAGGGCAGATGCCTACGTGGAGTTACATGAAAGAGCATGGGCATCTATCTAATTTGCCAGTTCTTGTCAAATTGTCCTCCTGAAGCATTGTACCAGTTCACTCACCATTCACTTATGTATGCAAATACTTGTTTCCTAAATCTCAACAATAATGGGCATTACCATCCTTTTACAGTTTCCAAGCATGAGGTGAAAAGGAGCACCTAACTGTTCTTATTTATGTTTCTTTAAAAGTAAAGCTGAGCATATCTCATGTCTGTTTTTTCAACTACCTTTCCATACTGTGTGAATGCTTTAAAAAAAAATTATACCACTTTTTGTAAAGGAAAAGCTCTGTCATAATATCACAAATATATTTTCCCAGTTCTTGATTTTTGCTTGAATCTGTGGTATTTTTCCCAGTCTGAAGTTCTTTTATCTTTATGAAGCTAGTTTTTCATTTACGCCTTCAATGCTAACGGGCTTTTTAAATTGTTCTTTTCCTGATAAAGTCTTATAAAACCTTCAAATAATACAATGTGAACAAAATAGGAGGCAAACGCACTCCTTGCCTGGAAGCAGGGCCCAGGATGGAAAGCCAGACCTGCAGTGGCACAAAATAACTAGAAGCAAGACCAGGGAGGCAAAGATGGTCACTTTGGTGCTCCTGCTTCCAAGTGGCCCTACAAAATACCCCTCAGGATTTCAACCCATGCCTGCCAGAGTCCAAAATCCAAGTTCCTAATTCTGACCTTTTTTCACCCTACTGGGGTAAAACATGCTTTCAGTGGAGGTTTGCATTTGTTGAGATGAGAGGGGTAGAGAAGGGAGCAGCAGTGGGAAAGGTGACTGGGAATCAGATCTAAGCTTCACCACTGACTCACTGGACAAATGTGGCCAAGTGTTTCCCCACCTTGAGCCTCAAGTAAACCCATCCTGAAGGGATGGGGAGCAGCCTGTGACCATTAGACAAATCTGTAGGTGGGAAAGCATGTGTACAGTGGAGTATGTTGTACATGCTGGTGGGATGTATTAAGTGACAAGAATTCCAGATGGTCAGGACTAGGAGGATTAGGGATCAATTAGGCTTCCTTCACCTTATTGAAAAGGAACATCAGCTAATTTGTAGGTATAACACGAACAAAAGTAAACGCTGTCACTAGAATAGCTGGATTTCTACCCAGACCTCTTCCGCCATCATGGAGCTTGTGTGCCTAACTGTGAGCACCAACTGATCCCCTCCTCAACCAAGTGCTTGCTTTTCCCTAGGCCCCCATCGCTGTGCGGCCGAGCAAAGTTGCCATTGACCGAGGAATAGAGGTGAGAGGGTTCTGGGTCGGAACTTAGTGTCTGCTGAGGTCAGTGGGGTGGCTGGGAGGCAGTGCTTTCAGGGCACACAGATGGGCAGCACAGCTGGGAAGAACTCAGGAATCGGGCTCTTCCTACAGACTCTGAGCCTGACCTCTCTCTTTGTGCCTTAGTTTTACCCACCTAACAAGGCATTTGCCATCTGTCTCTGGAGACTGAACCTGTGCTGCCGCAGCTGTCGACCTTTAACACCTCCCCCAGAGGGATGTCAGGGTGGAGTGAGGCACTCTGTGCTCCAGGGAATCTGGTGAAACAGGTGTTTAGACAGTTAGATTTTCAGGAACTTATTCATGATAACAATCTTCATATCTCTTCATATCTAGAAAAGCACTAAATCCCTTCCTGGTGATATCAGCTCCTCCTGACTAGCAGAAAACCTTTTATAAAGTAAGCTTGACTGTATTGAACTCCCACTTCACTGAAATCTTATATATTGACCTTCCCTGACTGCATCTTTGGAGCAGTCTCTCAGAGCTATCTGAGGTGCTCCCTCCTGGGCTGCAGTCCTATTTTTCCCCAAATAAAACTTAACTCACAACTCTCAAATTGTGCATCTTTTTAATCAATGTAGTCAGGGAACTAGAATGCACACACTGTAACTAAAAGAGCCTACACATCATAATGAAGATCAAAGATCCTGTGTGCAGGATCTAAGACCCAGTGCAGCCCAACAAATAAATAAATATAAAAAATAAGATTAAGAAAGAATAGGCTTACACAAGGAAAATTAGTTAGTTAGATATGATATCAACTTTCCAATCCAAAGGATAAAGATAAAATGAGTTGATAGATGCTTTCTTGGAATCTGTGAACACAGAAATCTTTAAAATAAGCATATAAAATTATGTTTGGATTTTCATCAGTGGAATTTTTTCTGTGAAAAGAAATTTAAAAATTTTTAATACAGAAAATTTTCTTATCTAAGTTGAAAAGGAATGTTAATGAAAACAATTATATATACTTCTGCTTGTAGTCATGATGGACTACAGATTTATTCTTCTGTCTTAAACATTTAAAAACCTGAACAAAATATACAAAGCAACTGTTTTCAGACAACGGCAACATAAAGCTTAGTACAGGGATCTCTGAAAGAACTCACAGAGTAATGGAGAGAACAGAGGGAAAGCTCTCTGAAAATAGTTCCCATAGGGCCAGGAATAGTTTTATTCTCAAAACCACAATGGAAAGATCTCCTAACACAAAGAGCAACAGTGGAATCCTGAGGTTACTGCTTGAATAGCAACATCAGTTCAGCCTTGGAAAAATAAGGACTGTTCTGGATTCTGCCTAACGAAACATAAAAGCAAATCTCAAAAGGATCAAACCACTTCTAAAAAACAACTATCCCAGAACAAACTCCTAAATAGTTAATGGAATATAAAAATTCCATTTACACCCAACAAATTAAAATTTGTAATGTTTAACATTCAATCACAAGTTATGACGCATGCAATGAAACAGAAGAGTACAACTCGTAAAGAGTGTATTAATCAATCAATAGAAATGATACAAATGATAGGACTGTTTTAATGTTAAAACAATTACCATAAATATGCTCCTTTGAAACAATTACTGTTAGGGGAAGCACACTGACTGAAACCGCCCACTCTGGCCAGGCACCACAGTAACCATTTGTGTGAGTTATTTTACAACAGGAGGTCCTGGTAAGTAGCACAGAACTAATAAGCCACCACTATCCAGAAGAGTTTGGAGAAAGTCAAAAGGAGATACCACGTGTCTGACCACGTCCCAGAATCCTTTTCACTGGCATCCATCCTGGCTGACCAATGCGTGCACCACCAGGAAAGACGCTGAGTCAGAAGGACAGACCAAAGACAACCCGGAAACTAATCCCATCACCATAAAACTCGAGACTGCAAGCCACATGGCAGAGCAGTTCTCCTGGGTTCCTTTACCCTACTGCTCTATACCTGGGTGCCCCTTCCCAATAATGTCTTGGACTGCAAGGAGATCCAACCAGTCCATCCTAAAGGAGATCAGTCCTGGGTGTTTATTGGAAGGACTGATGTTGAAGCTGAAACTCCAATACTTTGGTCATCTGATGCGAGAGCTGACTCATTTGAAAAGGCCCTGATGCTGGGAAAGATTGAGGGCAGGAGGAGAAGGGGACGACAGAGGATGAGATGGTTGGATGGAATCACTGACTCGATGAACATGGGTTTGGGTGGACTCTGGGAGTTGGTGATGGACAGGGAGGCCTGGCGTACTGCGGTTCATAGGGTTGCAAAGAGTCAGACACAACTGAGCGACTAAAATGAACTGAACTGAACTGAACTGAACTATTGATTAATAGCAAGGACCAGGAGAAATATCAATAACCTCAGATATGCAGATGACACCACCCTTATGGCAGAAAGCAAAGAAGAACTAAAGAGCCCTCTTGATGAAAGTGAAAGAGGAGAGTGAAAAAGTTGGATTAAAACTCAACATTCAGAAAACTAAGATCATGGCATCCAGCCCCATCACTTCATGGCAAATAGATAGAGAAACAATGGAAACAGTGAGAGACTTTATTTTAGGGGGCTCCAAAATCACTGCAGATGATGACTTCAGCCATAAAATTAAAAGACGCTTGCTCCTTGGAAGAAAAGATCTGATCAACCTATACAGCATGTTAAAAAGCAGGATATTACTTTGCTGACAAAGATCCGTCTAGTCAAAACTATAGTTTTTTCAGTAGTCATGCATGGATGTGAGAGTTGGACTATAAAGAAAGCTGAGTACCAAAGAATTGATGCTTTGAACTCTGGTGTTGGAGAATACCCTTGAGAGTCCCTTGGACTGCAAGGAGATCCAACAGTCCATCCTAAAGGAGATCAGTCCTGGGTGTTCATTGGAAGGACTGATGCTGAAGCTGAAATTCCAATACTTTGGCCACCTGATAAGAAGAACCGACTCACTAGAAAAGACTCTGACACTGGGAAAGATTGAAGGTGGGGGGAGAAGGGGATGACAGAGGATGAGATAGTTGGATGGAATCACTGACTCAATGGACATGAGTTTGAGTAAGCTCTGGGAATTGGTGATGGACAGCAAGGCCTGGCATGCTGCAGTTCATGGGGTTGCAAAGAATTGGACATGACTGAGCAACTGTACTGAACTATTGATTAAAATCTGCCCTAACATTTATTTTCTCTAGTTTCTACCTTGACAACAACCATAAAAACTAAAAAACTGAACTTTCCCTGCTACTCCACAAAATCCTCTAAACATGCTGTCCCTTATCTCAACCCCATCAGAGTAAGGGTAATTATTCTCCTGATTCTTATAATAATCATTTCCTTGTAGTAGCTCGTAGTTTTATCACCAAAGTGTCTGTGGACACTATATTTCGGCCTTGACTTAAAAAAAAAATTATGGGCTTTTTAAATTCTTTTTTAATTTAAGGTTCCTCTCCACTACATTTTTTTCCTCTCAACACATCTGTTAAAGACCCAGACTGTTGGGACTGTGGTTTCCCACAGTCTGGACTTTGCAGATTGCATATTCATGCAGGTCATCCTGTTCCTCTGTTCTCTGTCCCACAGATTGACAGCTGGATCCAGAATCTTGCAGACTCATTCTATCTCTTTGTCAAAACTATCAGTAGTGGTATATTCTTTCATCAGGAAGCATATGATTTTCTCTCTTTGTGTTGTTAGAAGCTCTTAGTGCTCAATGATTAGAACCAGTAATTCTTAAAACTTTTTAGTCTCAAGACCGCTTTACAATCTTAAAAATCACTGAAGATACCAGTACCTTTGATTATGATGATAATAGTTACAATATTTACCCTATTAACACTTCTAATAGGATATTTAAAATAACTTTCAATTCACTCAAAAAAAAAAAAAAACCATTACATGCTAACAAATAATTTAATGAAAATTATTATATCTCCCAAGAAAAACTGATCAGGGGCAATTGTTTTGCAAATATGCAATTCTGTTTAATGTCTGCTTTCATAAGAGGCAGGTGAATTCTTATATCTGACACAGCTGATTCTTCATTCAACTTTTGGTATTATTTTTTAGGTTGAATTCTACAAAGCAAATCTGAACTCACACAGATATGTGGTTAGAAAAGGGAGAAACACTTTAATAGCCTTTTAAGATAATTGCGGATATTCTTTATTAATACTAGACTAAAACGTGACAAGTGGGAGTTTCTGACAAGCTAAAAGCAATGTTGAATTTAAAAGAATATCAATGAACTTTTCATACTCTTGCTATACTCAAGCCCATTAAAATATTACCCTTTGAGTAGGGTGGTGTTCTGGCTTTTCTCTGGAGCCATTTCACATAATTTTCCAAACCTCTACCAGGAAGCTGGTATGTATCTGATCACCAGTGCTCTAGGAACAAGGCTGGTAATTACTATCATTTAATACTATGCAGAATTCCATTTAATTCCCTTTTTTCAACTTGGGCCTCACTCCTGTCTTCCACTAAACCTAAAGCTCAGATGATTCTAGAGACGCATCAGTTTAGTTTCTCCAGGCAACAAGTCTCTAATACCTTGATAAGGAACTGATAGTCACCTAGTGGTAAAAAGGATCTCAGAATCCAATCCAAGTGTTTTTCTTCCCTCCTCTCATCTCCACCTCACTTGACATCTAGTACACGTAGGTCCTAAGCCTTCTTGAGTTCTGCAGAAAGACTCAGCCAGTATAACCCTTCTTTAGGAACTCGGGCTCTGAGTTTCTCTGTTTTGAGTCAGTAACTACACTTCCACCAGCTTTTAATCCAGTGTTTTTCTGACATCGTTCTGCTGTTTCCTCTTCTAGTCACTTCACCCTGATGGGTTAATGCTTTAATTTCTTTACTGTCATTTTTCTGAGATTCGGAAAGCACCAATAGAGATAAATTCATATTTCCAATCTACTGCTGCTGCTGCTGCTAAGTCGCTTCAGTCGTGTCCGACTCTGTGCGAGCCCATAGACGGCAGCCCACCAGGCTCCCCCGTCCCTGGGATTCTCCAGGCAAGGACACTGGAGCGGGTTGCCATTTCCTTCTCCAATGCACGAAAGTGAAAACTGAAAGTGAAGTCGCTCAGTCGTGTCCGACTCTCAGTGACCCCACGGGCTGTAGCCTACCAGGCCCCTCCGTCCATGGG